CAATTAAGAGAGAGAATAAAAGTAAAAGACGTTACTGAACAAGCCTTGACACAACATACTGACACAACGAACGCCTAGAGGATGGTACATGAAACAGAGAAATAGGGAGTTGGGAGATCTTATGGAGAGAAGAGATCACCAAATGCGGTATAACGATGACACTGAAGTGTTGCAGGACCAACATGGACACGTCTGAGGCTTATATTTGAACTATCGAATAGAAAAAAGGACTTTTCCTTTAAAAAGTTAAAAAAACTTAAAAAAGTTATTCTCGTGTTTAATCTCTTAGGACTAATAATTTGGACATTTGGCTGTTTTTTATATCCCCTATTTTGACGTGCCAAATTTAAAGTTTATAGCCATAGCCAGCTGTCTGGACTTCATTATTTTTTACCATTTTTGTGCTTTTTTATTGTGTTCTCCTATTTTTTTAACAACATAGGTATATAAGAATGATATGGAAATTAGTCAATAATTTAAACCTGATGTGTTTAGTCATTAAATGATAATAACACATTAATTAATATAATTTTATATCACTGACGTAACATACACAGGAATCAATTCAAATTTATAATCTAATCATTTTAAAAATTGCCGTCTTATAACATTTTGATATATTTAAATATTATACTTGTATAAAATTAAGCTACAATTATTGATTATAATGAAAATCACATTTTTTATTTTTGAACTTTAAAGGAATAAAAATGTGATTTTCAATACAACCAGTAATTGTAGCTTAATCCCATACAAATATAATATTTAAATTAGACATGCCACAAGAAAGTAGTTTCAGAATTAGATCCATATGACAAAATATTGACATATATTATGCGAGTTAGAAGAAATAGCTATAAGAACCAGTTACAAGGAGAATGCCATCCTGCCTCAAAAATCATATACCATCCCTGGAAAGTACTGGGTTTTTTCTCTGTTTGGGGAAAGACTAATTTCAGGGATTTCTTAACCAGTTTTTGCTTTAAAATGTTGTTACAGTCTTTCCACCACCAGAGAAGAAACCCGATACCTTCTGCTCCATTACATATATATAGACAAGATATCAAAAAAATAGCCAAGCACATAAAAAAATAACACCAGCTTTCAGAACAAACAACAAATTAGGCAAATATTTTAAAAACAACAAGAGCCAAAAGAAAAAGCACTTACACAGTGGTGTATACAAACTTACATGTGATGATTGCCCAAAAACTTACATTGGTCAAATTGGTAGAACCTTTAACAAACGTATAGCAGAACACAACAGGGTTTCAATAATAGAAAAACAGATTTTACATACGTACTTCACCTTCTAGATCATAATCATTCTTTTAATGGCGAATTTCAAATTCCCCATATTCAAACTAAAGGCCTTAAGCGATCTTTATTAGAATATATGGAAATAAAAAAATAAAAAATACAGATATAATTCCGAATGACCAATTTGAGACAAACAGGTCTCTCCTCCTCAAATTATTCGCTTAGCAAGCTCAAAAGTTACTAATTTAAATGAAAAATGACTTCTAACAAAACTTATGCAACCAAATTAAAGAAGTATGCTTTCTAAAACAGTTACCAAGTGTCTCAAACAACTACAAACTGTACGAAAATCTCAAGAGAGTTTAAATACTCCATAAAAACTCCAAAAAGTCACAAACTTTTTGATTTGGATGTACAAATTGATGATAAATGCCAAAAAATGTATGAAAACTCAAGAATAACATAAGAAAACAGAAAGTGTGAAAGTCAAACTATGTGAACAAAATTACAAAAAGGACCTAACCAAATCCTTGAAAAATAAAATATACAGAACATTATCTAAGTTTAAGAAGTACCTGACAGATTACCAAAGAACATTAACACCTTATTACAGTAGGGCATCACTCCTATGGCATGGTTTCTCCTTGTAGCAAACTATGTAAGTTCCTTATAGATATAATACAGACATTGGCACATAATACGAACATTTTATAAAGTTATCTTATGAATTCGACTGTTACTTTTGTTTTCAAAAGTTAATAATAATAATAAATAATAATAATATCACTGCAAGACACTCGCAATATGATCCAGAAAACATCACAGGCCAACAGTGCCTGGATACATTAAAACAAAAACTCTCAACACTTTCAAATCAACTTTCCACACCAACTGCTCTTAACACCAATGCTGGATGGATAGAAGATACGACGCACAGCTGTCAACACTATCGCACAACTGTCTATGAACCCTTCACCACAGAAGAAGTCTCTAATATCATCAAAGAGCTTCATAACAGGAAATCTCCTGGACCAGATGGAGTTCAAAACTTCTGGCTTAAGAAGTTCTTGAGTGCTGATGAGTGCTTGTCAACACTAATTAATCGTGTTATTTCTAATCCGCCGAAAATATTATCATTCCTAACTTAGGGAATAACTTATTTAATACCCAAGGCGCAGAATAATACCCAAGATCCAGCCAAGTACCGCCCAATTACGTGTCTTCCAACTCTGTATAAATTGGTCACATCCTGTGTAGCCCAGCGTATCTACCAACACTGCGCTCTAAACAATATCATAGAACCTCAACAGGGGATGCACTAAGGGCTCCATGGGTTGCAAAGAACAACTTATTATCACCACCAAAAGGAACTTCTTCACTGCCTTTATTGACTATAAAAAGTCTTTGACTGAGTGTCGCATGAACGGCTGGTAGATATATTAAGAATATCAAGTAGATGATACTATAGTCACCTTCTTAAGACATATAATGACAAATTGGAAGACTAAAATTCACCTCCAAATACCTGGTGAAAAAAATATCGAAATGGAAAATATCGCAATTATCCCCAGCCTATTCCAAGGAGACTCGCTGAGTCCATTGTGGTTATGTCTAGCGATAAACCCACTATCCCAGCTATTGAACTCAACTGACTTAGGTTTTAGCATTAAAAAACAATACCGGGATGGCGAAGCTTAATCATCTGTTGTATATGGATGATCTGAAACTAATGGCTTCCACTCGCAATCACTTAGATCAAATGCTAAAAACTGTAGAAACTTTTTCAAATGATATCAGTATGCACTTTGGGTTAGACAAAGGTCGTGTATTAAATATAGTCAAGGGAAAGGTTCAGCCCGGGGGATTCGATATGCAAAATGACCAAAACAAATGACATAAATAAATATCTAGGAGTAAAGCAATCGCAGAAAATTGGCCATAAACAAATGAAAGTCGAATTAACATCAGAGTTCATACGAAGGGTAAAACAGCTACTCCGCTCATACCTTAATAGTAAAAATTTGTTTAAGGCATTAAACACCTACGCATTTTCCGCGCTTAGCTGCTCATTTGGGATTATTAAGTGGACTAAAACGGATATGGAAACTCTTCAGAGAAAAGTACGAACACACCTCACAAAGGCACAAAAGCACCATCTTCGAAGTGCAGTAGGAAGAACGACATTACCGCGGTATTTAGGTGGTATATATAATATATAACACAACACCGATCAAACTTAGGGAACAAGAAATGCGCATAAACCGTCTTATCGAGAATGAAAAAATGCGCATCTGGATGAGTAAACCTCTACACGGGTGACATCCGAATGAAGTCAGTCAAGACTATGTCGACAATATAGCGTCGAACTATTGGCTGACATCAGGAAAAATGTTCCCTGAAAAAGAAGGTTCATTACTCGCCATTAAGGATCAGGTTATACCAACCAAAAATACTCGAAATATATCGCCAAAGACCCTCAGGTCCAAAACGACAAATGCCGATATTGATGTCAAGCCCAAGAAACTATATAACATCTTACCGGGGGCTACCAGGCATTTGCTGCAACTAAATATAAGGAACGGCATGACTCAGTAGAGAAGATCCTCCAAGAGATAGCTTTTAAACTGGGACTTCTACAAACAAACCATCTCCCATATTATCAATACGTTCCTGAGAGTATGCTTGAGAATGACAACTACAAGCTATACTGGGATCGCACTGTGCTCACAGACCAAACTGTAGAAAATGATAGATCAGATCTCGTGCTTATAAATAAACTAACAAGACAAACAACTCTAATCGATGTGGCGGTACCTAACAACAATAATCTGCGTGTTAAGTACAACAAAAAGATCGCCAAGTACAGAAGAGAATGGAAAGTACCCAGACGATACCTATTATTCTTTCTACCACATTCCGAAGAACCTCCTAGAAAACATAAAAAGCTGGGTCTAAATGAACATCTATATAAGATCATGCAGAAAACTGTGCTACTTTCGACGTCCACATGGGTGCGAAAATTTTTGGGAGATACACCGACGTACCAAGTCACCTAGATTCGATAACATGGAAAGTGTTCCACCAGAGCTCAATCCTTTTGATATCGTAGGTATCTAGGATAAGTGAATTTTCCCCTTAGAGGCAGTGTGAGCCGTATGGCTAAATCTGGGATAAATAATAATAATAATAACTTAATAACAAATTTTGTGAAAGTTTTCAATGTTTTATTGTTAGATTAGATTAGATTATATGATATTGTTAAAGCCATGCAGCCTCACCGTGCTGAAACTGACAGTTTCAGCTTACAAGCGAAGCAGTAACATATCCAGAAGATGCCAACCCCTAGTGTTGGCGAAACGTCGAGAACTAATCTCAGAAGACAACGGCCTAACAGTCCGAACAAACAGTTTAACAAATTAGACGATGGTCGTGAAAGCCTAACGCATTTTATCACTTCTGATGAAGTTAATTAGCTTCCTAGGTGACTTGTTTCCTATGTCAGAAGACGCTATACTGACATCTAGGAATTTCATTCTAAACATGGCTAATTGTCAAATTTGTTGCCGCAAAGCGCCAATTGATAAACATTTACAGGTTAACATAAGTAGCCAGTGTATTCTGATGAAATAATGATGAGAAGAGGAAACCTACTGAAAAATTGAATGCAGATTGGCCTTAATAGATCACGATCTTTACAATTAGTGTATAAAATGCGGATTTCAAAAAATAAGTGTACTAACCTTTTTAAAGAAAGCTTTTAGATGCTCGTCTTCTGTGTTTACATCAAATCCATGAGTTGAGTCCCACCCAACATGCGAGATATGTTTAAAATCTCTAGGAATTCCAATATCGGCTTTAGTGATGTTCCTTCTTCTCTTCGCGTGTTGAGATGCTGGATCTAACGTTTTTCTGTAGTTATTAAAATTAAGTTGAGTAGTTGGTGGAGGCAGCGTTTGACTTTGACTAACAACTTTATTTTTCTTGTCTTCTCGTTTCTTCCTAGCATTGACTTTTTGATGTACTACTATTCGAAGATCTCGAGCATCTTGAATACTCGCGAAATTGAAAGCTACGTGACAGTTCTCGCCTTCGAAAATATGGAAAAAAGGGGTAGCTTCGATGTAGTCCATATTGTTGTACATTTCATGTTCCCACAGCTTTATATTTCTGTCGATGGAAAATAAGCGGAAGAAGAAATTCTTTTTTGTATTGTCTTTTACAAAGCACAACACACCTGTAACAAAAATTTATATTTATTAATCATTAAATTTTCAATGCAAAAGATTTCAATGCAAAAATAGGTAACGGAAAAGAAGGGCAACATATTGGTCCACACGGATTAGGAGAGAGAAATCAACGCGGAGAAACAATGAGTATCTTTGCAGCTGAGCATGACTTAATCGTGCTAAACATATTTTACAAAATACCGCCTAGACGCCTGTATACGTGGAAATCACCTAGAGACAACGGAGAAGACGTTATTATTAGAAATCAAATAGACTATATGCTTGTTAACAAAAGATATCGAAATAGTTTCAACAGTGTTAAAACCTACCCAGGCGCTGATATTCAATCTGACCACAATCCTTTAGTGGGCGTGTATAGAACTAAGTTAAAGAAAATACGCGGAAAAACTGTAAAAAAACATGACATGAGAAAACTGAAATGTAGCGAAGTAAAAGAAATAGTCAGCAAAACATTAAATAGAAAATTTAAAGAAATCGATAATACAACGGAAAGCACAGAATATAAGATAGAATCCCTTAGATAGAATCTACAGAGATTCTGCAACTAATGAAAGAAAAAAGGAAAAACAAGAACGATAACTCCATGTATAAAACATTACAGCGAGAGATACAGAGAAAGATCAGAGAAGCCAAACAGAAAGAACTGGAGAAAAAATGCCAAGAAATCGAAATTCTCCAAAGTAAATACGACGACTTCAACGTGCATAAGAAGGTAAGAGAAATTACAGGTAAATGTAAAAACAGAAGAATAAGTAAACTTGTTAATGACAATGGTGAGATAATCGTGGACAAAGAGAGTATCAATGATACCTGGAAAAATTACATAAGAAATTTATTTTTTGATGAGAGAGAGAACCAGCCCCAATACCTACGGAAACAGGACCACCTATACTAGTGGCAGAAATAAGAGCAGCCATAATATCACTAAAAGAAGGTAGAGCTCCAGGACCAGACGGAGTACAATCTGAATTTCTCAAACTTCTTGATGATGAATCTTTAAGAGTACTATGTAAAATCTTCAATAATATCTATGACACAGGCAATATCCCAAAACATTGGCTACTTTCAGAATTTATTACCTTACCAAAGAAACAGGGAGCAAAAAAGTGCGGAGGAATATAGGCTAATAAGTCTAATGAGCCATACATTAAAACTTTTTCTTAAAATTATACATCGTAGAATATACAAGCTATGCGAAGAGAGAATACAAGACACACAGTTTGGATTCATGAAAGGCGTAGGTACAAGAGATGTACTGTTTAGTCTACAAGTATTATTTCAAAGATGCAGAGATATGAATTGCGATATTTACACCTGCTTTGTGGACTACCAAAAAGCATTTGATACAGCTCAACACCAAAAAATGATGGATATTCTAACAAAAGCCCAAATGGATGATAAAGATCGGCGTATAATACAAAATTTATACTGGAACCAATCAGCCACAATAAGAACGAATTTTGGAGGTGAACCAACGGAAATGATCCAGATTCTACGAGGCGTTAGACAAGGTTGTATACTTTCACCTATATTATTTAATCTATATTCAGAGGAAATATTTAGTGAAGCCTTGGAAAAATGCGAACATGGAATACTTCTAAATGGAGAACGCCTAAACAACATCCGTTTTGCAGACGATACCGTTATTTTTGCAGACAGTTTGAACAGTTTACAGCAACTAATAAACAAAGTAAATGAAGTAAGTGAAAGATTTGGACTTCAAGTAAATATAACAAAAACTAAATTTATGATCATCAGCAAAAATAAAGTTAGAGACGCTCAACTACTTATCAATAATACACCAGTGGACCGAGTAAAACAGTATAACTATCTTGGAACAACAGTAAATGAACAATGGGATCACTCACAGGAAATAAAATGTAGAATAGAGAAGGCTAGGAGTGCATTCAATAACATGGCCAAACTCTTTAAAAGCCACAATCTTAATCTGGAGATAAAAGTAAGGTTCCTACGATGTTATATCTTCTCAATATTGTATTATGGAGTTGAATCCTGGACACTAACTGAAGCAATGGAGAAAAAACTTGAAGCCTTCGAGATGTGGCTATTTTTGTAAAGTAGTCTCCCTTTGTAGAGCGAAGCATACCTTGCGCTGGTATTATGGCCAACATATGTACTACTTGAAGACACATTTACTGGAGATATATTAACAGGACTACTATACATCCTGTCATTAGATTTTGAAAGAAAGCTATTCTGCCATGTTAAGAATAGAAGTCATAACTGACAAAATCCCTATTTTGAGATATTCGATGTTTTAGATTTGATTAATTGCCATCAACTGTAATGATTCATTAAAAATCTTGTTACAACATAGCAATATATTTTTTGAGTACAAATTTAATGAGCGTCCAATTTTCTTTCAGAGTATTTGAAATTAGACTTTTGAAAGTCTTATCTCCAGGTTCTATTGAAGTTGGTAAATTATTCCAAAACGTTTGTCTGCTTTTAGGCATGTGTCCACACAGTTTGGATATAATTAGTTGTTTTCTTTCAGTCGTTATGCCTCTAAGAATGGACTTGGGTGAAGGTTTTGTCATTCCCTGTTTTGCAATCTTTGCATTTAGAATGTTTAGTTCACTTTCTGTCTCTGAGGCAAGGCTGGTTTTGTACGAAAAAGTTTATTTACCTCTAGAAAAATTTTCTTGAACCATTTGTTTTAGGTATGGCCTGGGATTAATTTTATTCAGTTTATATGCAGAAGTACCAACTTGCCATTCAAAAAAGTCAGTTAAATCCATAACAATTACTTTAGCATTACTTACTGCATTTGCTACTGCATCCGAAAAGTCTTTAAAATCGTATATTTTACCCATTTGCTTCATGGAGCGTTCCACTTGGTGGTGGAATGAGTCCGAAGCCATGAAGGTATAGCCAGGCTCAAAATACTTAATACTTAATTTTTCTAGTGCGATATCCTCAGAGTTTACAATGAACGTAAAGTAAACAAAGTCCAGTTTTTATTTTGAGCAGAGCAATTGTCAAGCCACATTATAACATTGTTAGCGTCTCGGTGAGACCAAAAAAAATTATAGAATGTGCTGACAATATTCGACTTACTCCGTTTGGCTATTCCTTCGTGCCATAAAATTGCAGTTTGTACTGTTAGCTTTCTAGCAGTGACGACAAAACTTTCATTAAAAGCAATTATTCTAGGTGTAAAAATAATCTCCTTAGCATATCCATTCTCGTAAGCATTATGACCTAGAATATCACAACAAAATAAAGCATTATAATTAATATAATATTTTATTACCTTTTGCAAATCCACTGAAACTACCATTGATGTATCGTCCCAGTTACTTTTTACAGACGAGTCAGTCTGATATTATGATCTGATAGCAGTGTATTTATTTTGATGTACACCACAGTTGGTGCATTCCTCACAATTATCCTCCACATCTTTTTTGTGAGACGTGGGTTTTGAATGCAAGTCAAATGATTCACATAACCAGCACTCTTCGTGTCCTAATTTTACAAATGAAATATTTAAAGTTGCGACAACTTCTCGATATAAATAATACGAAAACTTGATATTTGGATAATTTTCAATAAAATTCTGGTACATCATTTTTATTATGATGTCACTGGGAAGATAACGTCGTTCTGGTGCGTGTTCCCGACGGTAGTGTGGATCTGTGGGTTTGAAAGATTCTATATGTTCTTTAATAATATTTCGATCTATTTTAAGTTTTCCTGTCTTTCCTTGTTTATTCCTGTTGACTGTCACTTTTGAATTTGTTTTAGTAAGAACATCTCTAATAAATCTCGTCATTTTTCTTTTCATGGCCCAACGTCCTCGTTTTGCAAGTTTTGTTTGCATCCGTTATTTAAAATAAAATTTTTATGTTCGTCTTTTTGCAATTTCCAAAATTCTCCATTTATTTCTGTTTGTCTAGCTTCTGTTATTTTTTCGGGACAGCTTCTCTTGCAAGATATACAAGATGGTTTTACACCATGCTTAGCAATTGTGGCTGTTAATTTTTTTTTCTCATTGCTAGGCTCTCTTTCCCCTTCTTCTGCTTTGTTGTGTTATGTAATTTAAAGCTTTCTTTGGCCATCTATCTTCATTCATTCGTTTCACGTGACCATACCACACTAGTTGTCTTGTTTCAATTCTGTCTACACTGGAATATACAGTATTTGTCCTCCTTCTAATATCTTCATTCCTGATATGATCTTTTTTTGATACACCACACGCTCTCCTTAGAAAATCCATTTCTACTACTTCTAGTCTTTTTATTTATTTTTTTTTATTCAACAGATACATATATTATATCTACCAAGATTTCTTGAATAAAAGGGAGACAATCTTCCTTACCTTCTTCTTCACCTTTGGAATCAGATTTTCCAGGAAAGAACATTTGCAGCTCTCAAAGTTATATCACTAATAATAATCTTTACTTTATTTAAACCTTTTCTGTTTAATTTCGGTTCCTCAATTTTTTCCGTCTCTGAATCTGACAAAATAAAATCGGGGTCACTATCATGCTGAAGCTTAGGTTTCTTCACGACACGTCGTCGTAAACTATGTATTTTCTGTTTTTATTGGTTATTTAAAATATGCAACATTTTAAATGCTCTGCTATTTCTGTCCATTGTTACTGGTTCAGTTAACAAACCATAATGTAAACACACTTAAAAACATTATAACAATAAGATTAATACTAGTAAAGAACTGAAAATCAGATACGCCGAATAACTCTTACAACCGTTTAATTTTTAGGTTAAGGCGGGAACACTATGAATGATTAGGTTAGATCTTCCTGTTGTTAGAATATTTAGTTGAAACTACACAATTGTTAAGCAAATTAGTCGTAACTACAAATCGTCTTGAAGATACAACTAAAAATGTTAACCAATAGAGATTTGACAAATTGGCTTAACAAACTTTAAAAATTCACATCCGACAAAATTTTAAAGTGGAATAACTTATTTTTAAACAGCAGATAGGACTTTTATTCTTAACATATAGGTAGATTATTTGGCTATCAATGTGTTGGTGGTATAACCTAAAAAACTCAAAATTGCAGATATAACTTTTATTCTTAACAGGGCAGTATTAGCAATCATTTTTTATTTATTAACGCATTTCACGCCTCGTTTTAATGATATAATCAACAGTTTAAAATAGCCTGCTTTCTCCCTATAAAAAATACTTGGAAAATGCTTCACAGAGCAATTCGCACTCAAAGAAATTATCGACACATGACGAGAATATTCTGCAATAGTTGATAACAACCTTATAAGAAATTGAGCGTATTCAAGCGACGTCTCGAAGTGAGAGATGAAAATTAAAATAATTTTTAATAAATATTTCTCTGTTTTAGTTAAAAAATGCGAGTTAAAAAATTATCAAAATTACTTAATAAAAATTTGATTGAAAATAAATAAACGGAAAGTTTTATAATTGACATAAATATACCAATGTTTTGTGCAAGGAGCTGAGTGGTGCAAAACTTTTAAATTTGTGTATATTATTATTTACACAAACATGAATCATATTCCACACAGGATATATTACACGCGAAAATTAAACACAGATTATGTAACTATTTTTGGGTTAAACCAAGGAAGATAAACCAGCCACAATTTCTTTTTGGTTAAAACATTTTGGGAATTTGTTTTACACGGTTTTTCACAAAATTGTATCTATTCAACATCTAAGAAAACAATTAGACATCGAATCTGAAGTGACATCACTACATATAACAAAAACTGAATAAAACAAACATTTGAGTAAAATTAAAGAATAAATTTATACTTACATAGAAGGAAGTTTAATAAAAATTCGCAATTATTTAGCTACCATATAAAAAAAAATACCACAGCCAAAATGAATACATGAATATAACCGCTCAATGAAGACAAGTAGCTCCAAAGGCAGAAGCTACTAATACAAACAAAAAGGAACACAATGAATGCAAGATCAGTAGAGATCTCAGGGATAGAAATTAACACAATTAAGAGCTATATCAGAGTGAAACTAAATCGAGCTGACAAATAAGGTCAACTATAAATGATAAAATACCGAAACCTACTTACAATTAAACAAATGTCTCGAAGAATAGAAAATTGCACAAAATTGGAATAAAGCAATTATGATACAACTTCACAAAAAACGGAAGCAATCAACAGCTTCAAAACTATCAATAAATTAATATGCTTTATGGCATAATTAATTCTACAGTCTTATGCCCTTAGCTGCTTGAGGAGGTTTGTCTGCATGTACCTCTCCGTAGAACACAATTTAACCATCATATAAGTAATCATCATTTTGATTTGTAAAGTTAAATTATGTGATTAAGTTTGTGATATTTATACCTTATTTTGTTTATTGCATACATTGTTAATCTTATTGGGCATCAGCCCATTGAAAATAAATAAATAAATAAATAAATATACTATATAAGGTATAAAAATTATTAAAAAACAAATAGACTAACCAAGAAATTCGAGCTCTGCCAAGCTTTGAAGGAAGTAGTTTTAGAATATAGTTCAGCACAATAGATCACATATATTCTTTATGAAAGGTCTTACAGAAAATACAAAAAGAACATAACTTGGATGTATTCATGTCACTTGTAGACTAAAGAGCATTTGATTCTCTGAAATATTCCTATTATTATTCTTAATCCTTGGCAATACCCGAGGATATAGAGAATAAAGGATACTAATAAATCTTAAATATACCAATAATACTGTATACACTGCAAACAATATCACTGAATTAAAAGAGATGCTAGAAGAACTATGAGAAAAATGAAAAGAGGAGTAATAATTAACACAAGTAAATAACTATATTAAGTAAAAACCCAAGAAATAAATGATCAACAAAATAACATTGTAATTATTCAAGAGACATTCAAGGTACTTGTTGTTTGCCCTAAATACACATATTTAGAGCAGGCAACGAGTGATGAAGCGATTGTGAAATTTTATGTATCAAATGCTTTTGGATTTAGAGAATACACTCGAGAACAATCTACAGTTGAAAATATGAAAAAATATATTCAATATTTCCAACAAAATTATGCTAAACTTCATACCAGAAGTTCATAAATATCTAATTGCAAAATGTAACTTGTAGGTAGGAAGATAAGGAAGTACTGAGTTTTCAGTATGATCATTAAACTTAATGCTATGGTATTTTTCTAGTAAATTATTAGAAGAGTTGGCATAAGTCAGTTAATGACACTGTATTTCTGTCACCATGGCCACCTAGCTCTGTTTAATTTACACTAAAGAAAAGATATCTGTTGTCTTTGTACATACTTCAACAGGATGATTACAAGATTATGATCAATGAATTTGTTGCATAGAATCCTAACAGAACTGTTCCTATTCAATAAGTTCTAAGAAACTGGATCTGTTTTAGATGTGCAGCTAGTAGTCATTCCTGCAATTTAGTGGTACAAAAAAATATGTAACTTGTTGCCCAAATGTTTGTCAAGCTACCCAACTAATGTATAGTTCATGCATCAATTCACTTAGTCATATTGGATCACTGTTATCATTAATGCAGCATATGGCACACAATTATAACAGCAAATTTTCTGGAGTGAAGTTCACTTCAAGTTAAACAGTTTATTCAGAATAATTAAATTTACTGGGTATGGGAGAACACTCCCATAGCCAGTACCATTGCACAAGAGTTGAATTTTCCATAAGTAGCAATGTAGATTAAAATTCACACCAGTAGTGGCTCTAGTCCATGTTTCTTTAAGGGTACTGTAAATGCAGAAAATTATCTACTGCTTGTGAATTTAAAGAGTACAATTTAAAATAATCCACAGTTAATGGGCATTCTATATTTCCAACAAGATACCACCCCCTACCACTTTGGACTATAAAGTCAGATAATGTCTGAATTTGGAGTTTGATATGTGAATAGAATATGCATCAAGGGGCACATGGTCATCAGACCTAATGCCATGGTATGTTTCCTATTAAAGTACTAAAAATTAAGTATTTGATTAAGTGTTTGATGTTTGATGTTTGATGTTCAAACTGTGAATTATTAAGATAATTCACAGTTTGAACAGAAAATGTAATATTTAATCTATAGTATGTCTAACTAATGACTTCAATAAAGTATGTTACTGTAATTTTTCTTTTTGTTTGTTTAGTCTAAAATCAAGTTAAGTGACTTGTGCTAGATCCTGTATGGATCATATAATTCAATTATGTAAATTCGTCCACATTGTATGTGCAATTACATATTTTTTACATTTTATTTGGCATTTAAAATTTTAACAATACAATGTTGTTTCAGTCAGGACTGAAACTAGCTTATCATATTTAGATTAGACATAATGCACATATCAAATGTGGTCATAATCATAATGTGGTCAGTTTGCATGCAAATATAGTATTGGGTTAGATAGTAATAATAATTAATAGCAAACAAAAAATTTCTAAATTGGAGTAGAAGAAAATTCTTCATTGTAGTATATTTTTTGTTGAAAACATTGTAACATTTATGGAGAAAATAAATGAAGACCATAGTTATAAAAAACAAATGAAAATAAATCTTGTATACTTAGTAATAAAACAAATCAAAATAATGTTATAGATCGAATTTTACACTCAAATCAAGCCAGTGGCAAAAAATAAGGAAATACTATAAGGAAACACACACATTTTAATAACATTCAACAAATAAAAAAGGTCACTATATGAAGCAAACAGACCCACCCTTTGGAACTCTTACAGTCATCTTAACCAAAGAATCTTACTTTTGATTTTGCTTATTTATATAGCTATGGAAAGTTTCTCATTTGCTTTTCAATTTTTGTTTTGGTGTAAGTTTTGGCCTTAAAATATGTTATTTAAAATAAAAGACTGATTAGAACATTTGAAAGGTTCAAAAAGTTTATAATAGAATATATTTATAAAATAAAACAACATTGTTTGATATTAATATATTTTTTTCTGGTTTGCCTACTTTTATAGCAATAAACAGTGTTTTAATTATAGTCCTATTATTATGATTATAGCTCAAGTTAATAAATACATATTAATTAATCAATGACTGTTTAAATAGTCTAGAGAAGTATTTTGAATTCATCATTCTAGTAAGATCTAGTTTATCTTTTATTTCTCTTTCCTGGTTATGAATTCTTAATGATTATCCTGTTTGTGGCATTGATTCCCTGAGGGCTATATAAAATACTGCCCCTTTTTGCTTTTTTATTTCACCAATTACGAAGAATATGAAATGATTAAATGCAATAAAGTAACATAAATATTATTCTACTCTTTGTATTCCATTCAACTTTGTATTTTAATAGAATGTAATTCTAATGTAATCTTTGTATTCCATAATCAACATACATCCTTGAATAAGAGGAAAAAGAATAAGGCTGCTGGTCAGTTTAAGCATATCGTAAAAGCAGCAAAATTAGGAGCTTTAAAAGGTGCCAAAGCAAAAAGGAATAAAAACAAATAATTTGTATTCCATATGTCTATACATCCAAGGAAAGGCAAAGTTTACACAACTTTGTCTTTTCTTTTCTATTCTTACATTTTGATTTAAAGAATTATTATTTGTTACTGGGTATATGTTCTAAAATTGTTGAATCTTGTCAAATTGGCAATTATATTGTGTCTGGGCGTATTGTGCTACAACTGTCTTATTTATTCTATACCTGTCTCACCATTCTTGGATCAAGACAACTTGGTCATAGTCAAAAAAGAATGTACAAACTGTTTTCTTCTGCATGCCCCATACTATTTCAGGGAGCATTATAATTTCGTAATAACGCTTTTGCATAGATATAGTTTAAATATCATTGGAAACATGATAAAACTTTATCGTAGTACTGTAGTAATTTGAATATATTGAGATAAACGTTTGTTTATTTTGATTTGATTGATGTTATCTCAATATAATTCATGAATATTGAGAGATAAGTACTTACCAGTCGTCTTTTTGATCCATTTTGAATGATCCGGAGGGGTCGTCAAATATAACTGAACTACTGTTGTACATAGGGATTGGCAACGATTTCCTAGCAATTTAAATATTTGCACATTTTCTTCGTCCGTTAAAATGTCACAATAGTGATTTTCAACGGCAGGAGGCATGTTGCTGTTAAATACGAATTGTAAACATTTTAAGACAAACTGTGTATAACAAAATTAACTGTGTATTGTTGTAAGACTTCTCATTATCACCAAAAAAGTAGAGTAGATAACCTAGAATTAGTCATATACGTCCCCCTTGACAAATCTTGTTCTTTGACAGTTCCCTAGTTCCAAGATTTCTAATAAATTGCGTTTGAAAGTTACACCATGTTACACCGTGTATAAATACGAAGTTTCAGAACAGAAATTTTATCCAACATCATTATCTCTTTGTGAAAAATAATACTGTGTCTAAAAAGTATTAATGTTTTATATTTAAATATAAACTCAAAAAAGAATTTGGTTCCATAAATATTATTCTTATGAATTAAAATTTTTTGAAATCATAATCACAGCCTGGTACTTATGCAATGTGTAATGCAGAACGTGCAATATTCTATAATTAATCTTTTTAGATTTCGATAACCACTTTTTTGTGATTTTATTTATTTTAGAGAAAACATACCTCTCTACAGCGACACTGTATCATATTTAACAACACGTAATTTTCTAATTTTAATTTTCAAATACTATTCTTGGGATGTGATGGTAGTCTAGTTTTAAGTACCTATGTGTTTGTGTTAATCATGCCTTATAATCTCGTCAACTATATGTGGGCGCCCAATATCCAATGACCGTGGGAGTACCCCAGGATCAGTCCTGTGACCCTAACTCTGGAACATGTTATACAATGGGGTACTAGAAATTCACAAGCAGAGAAAAGGAGTCAAAGCGATAGCAGTCGCCGACGATCTAGCTCTATTGGTTAAGAATGATATGAATTGGGGCATAACAGAAAAGGTAAATAAAGCAATAAACACGACCGCGGCGTGGATCGAGAAGAACGACTTAAAATTAGCAGTAGACAAGACAGAGATAATAATTTTTAGAGGACCAAGGAAAAAGGATGATATAGTTTTCAAATATCAAGGCTTCGAAATAAGACCCCAAAGGACAGTCAAGTACCTCGGTATTACTTTCGACGACCGACTTATCTTTGGGCAGCACATACAATAAGCATGTCGAAAGGCGGAAGGGAGGACTTCAGCATAGAACAAATTAATACCAAACATAGGGAGGACCGTATTTCAGAAGATATCAGTCATGTTACAGTCAATAATATTGTTCATCTTATGTGGGGCCCCCGTGTGGCACGAGGTCCTCCAGATGATGAAATATAAGGACATGCTTTTTAGGGCTCAAAGGAAAACCTTAATCAGGGTGTGCAGCGCGTACAGAACTGTATCTACCATTGCCTTACAAGTGGTGGCTGGTTCTGTAGGTGGAACAACCGCTATATTTATTGATTTTAAATATGTGTGTTGTTGTGGTGGGCAGTTGACGCGGGGAGGACTCTATACATCCAACCCGCGCTGCCCGCCTACTGTATAGCTACTCTTATTCGTTTTATTTATTTGTTCATTTATTTATTTATTTTATCGTATTTTATTTACCCAATTTACTTCCGTTTTTATTATATTTTATCTATTTGTAGTTGTTTTTTATTTTATTTTATTTATATTACTTTTAACTTATTTTTTTTTCCATTTTTATTTATTTATCTATTTATTTTATTTCAGTGGAGAAGAGTTTCTACATCCAATCCCGTCGGATGTCCCGACGCCCGGAAAATTGGTGAATGAAGGTGAATAGATGGTGTTACTGTTAATTTCCAACTCTCGTTAGTTCCAATGTGGAAGGATGCGGAGGGCAAGCTGGCTGTCTCGCCGTCATAAGCATTGAGCAGAATCTCGCGCTAGCCTTGGGGTGGAGGAGGCCTGGAGGCCGTCAAATCCATGTAATGGACGCGAACCAAAGGGAAGTTAATGAGTAAGGCTAACGGACTAGATATGCTCCCTAAGAGCGGTTCCAGGCTCGTCGGAAAGGAGAAAGAGGGGGTGGTTTAGTCGGTAGGCGGTCTCGTTACGCGGTGAAGCGTGAGAGATTGAATCCGACACACCTGGATAAAGGGCTCACATCCGATCCCAGACGGTCTTTTAGAAGATTCCACGTTCCAAAAAAAGGTTCCCATGCTCGGGGAAACCGTGTCCAAACCCAAAGCATTCCCATCTCCACCCTGTCCTCCTCCCACTTCCAAACCAACCTGCACTAGCAAAGGATAGCTTTTTAATGGCTTAAAACCCCAAAAGATATTTTCCATGAAAGACGAAACGACTCTGAACGGCCCTGAGTCTCCAACTACCACAACCAAGGTAGCGGTTGGAATAGGTTTGGAGCAGAGGGTGCTTAGAATCCCCGGAAAACATCAGGCTACTAGAAAGAGCGACAAATGCATATTCCTTCATACAATGTTATAACTCCTATATTAGACCAGAAGATGATGGTACGGGAGGAAGAGCTGAAAAACATAAAATGAGACATCATCGGCCTCAATGAAATAAGACGAAGAGGAGAAGCCCAAATTACTCTTAAATCAGGACACGTATTTCATTTTAAAGGTGAAGAAGACACTTCAAATGGTGGAGTAGGATTCCTTATACATAGAAAGCACACACAAAATATAGTTGAAATTACAACATAAGCAACAGGATTGTATATCTCATCTTCAAGCTAAATGCAAGATATAACCTTACGGCAATCCAGACATGTGCTCCAACGACTACCCACTCGGAAGAAATTGAAAAATTTTATGAGGACCTACAGTCAAAAGCATAAATGTTATTATTCCAAGATACTGTGGAAATAATTATTAATCAACAAAAAAAAATTCAACAGTACCAATTGTGTGGAAGTAGTTTAAACAGTTTTTTACCTATACTGAAAATTTTGCTTAATGGAGTTGGTCATCTTTTAAACCAGGCTACAGATACAATTTCCCCCTTCTTCTTCTGCTAGTGCCTATCCTCTATGGATGTTGGCTACTACAATGGCCCATCGTATTTTATTAGCAGCTGTTCGAAATAGGACTGTGGTGCTCATACCTGTCCACTGTCTCAAATTCTTAGGCCAGGATATTCGGCGGCGTCCTGGTCCTCTATTTTCTTCTATTTTCCCTTCTAATATCAATAGTAGGATTCTGTATTTATTTTTACTTCTCACTATATGTCCGAAGTATGCTAACTTTCTCTCTTTAATGGATTTAAATACTACAAGTTCTTTTGTAAACGTTGCATTACTACGTCGTTAGTTATATGATGTACATATGATATTCTGAGCATGCGACGCTCGAAACACTGCAACCGTCTGCAAGACGCATCAGTGAGTGTCCATGCCTCTGCCCCATACATAAGAACAAAAAATACATAACAATTAAGGATTTTGAGTCGGAGATGTAAGTTCAAAGTTAAATTGCAGAGAACTTGATTTATCTGTTAGAAGGCACTCCTTGTTTTTTCGATTCTACATTATTTAATCTCGTATGAGTGATCCCAGATGTCCGTAATGTTGCATTCTAGGTATGTTATTTTTTCTGTTCTATCCAATACCTCATTGTCTGCCATAAATCTGTATCTTGATCACAATCATCACAATTTTCGTCTTCTTATTATTAAGTTTCATTCCATATTTTCTACCGATGTTAACTACTTGATCTATCAGTCTTTGTAATCCTTCAGCACTATCCGCAAAAAGGACAGTGTCGTCTGCATATCTTAGAGTATTTATTATTTCACCGTTAACAATCACGCCATCAGTCGTTTTTCCCAAAGCTTCTCGAAATAAATGTTCAAAGTACGCATTAAACAGCAAAGGCGAGAGTATGCAACCTTGTCGTACTCCTCTTTGTATTGGGACTTCATCGGATAATTTATTGTCTCCTCGAATCTGGGCTACTTGTTTTCTGTAGAGATTGGCTATTATTTTTATATCTTTGCCTTAACAGGCAAAGACATCTGTATTAACATCTCTTGCTGTTTGTATCAATACTTGTATGCTAAAAAGTGCTTCTCTTGTGCCAAGACCGCTGCGAAATCCAAGTTGTACATCAGCAATACCCTCCTCCAATTTCTTGTATATGCGAGCATGGATGATGTTTAAGAATATTTTGTGTAAGTGGTTCATGAGGCTAATGATTCGGTGTTCTTCACATTTCTTAGTATTTGGTTATAATTCTGTCGTAATGTCAAGTTGATTATCTTCTATCAATTTCAATACCTCAATATTCCATCAGGTCCTGGCGCTTTGTTGTTTTTTAGATGACTTATAGCAGATCTTACTTCTGATTTTGTTATTGTTGGTCCATTCTCGACGTTGTCATATACTTCAATGTGTTTGTTGTCACTGAACAGTTCTGCTATATATTCCTGCCATTTGTCCAGTTTTTCTTGCGTATTGAATAAATAGTATGTTTTCATCTTTATCAAACAGTGCAGTGGGCATTGTTGTTCTATATATTCCTGCCATTTCTTTGATCTTCCTGTGCATATTGAATATATCATGTTTTTTCTGTAGGATCTCTATTTCTAAGCATTTCTCTAACAGCCAGGATTCTTTTGCTAATTTTATTTCTTTAAGTACTTTTTGTGGTGTTCCTTGTACTTTTCTGCGTCTTTATTCTTACAATCTCTTCTTTGCTCCATAAGCTCTAAAATCTGATGTGTCATTCATGGTTGTTTTATTTGTCTTTTCTGTTTGATGTTGTTGTTACTAATACATCCTTGATCTTGTTCCACATTGTATCAATATCTTTTCTATTATGTGTTGCAATGTCGTTAAATTTTGTGCTTATTTCTTCTTGCATTTGTTGTTTTAAGTTGCTTTGTTTCAGTTTTTGTATGTCCATCGTTCTTACAACGCCCGACTTTCGAGTTTTTTTCATCCTTACTCTCAGTTCAGCAAGCAAAAAGTTATGGTCGGAGTTGATATTTGCTCCAGGATAGGTTTTTATTGAAGTAACCGCATTACGAAACCTTTTAATTATTAGAAAATAATCTATTTGATTTCTAATTATTTGTTGCGGGCTATCGGCGGGAGACCTCCAGTATATAGCCTTCTAGCTGGTAGTTTGAGTTGGCTGTTCATGATTACATTATCTGTTTCTTGACAGAAATGTATGTCATTCGCCTCTTTCATTCCGTATACCCAATCCATACTCTATTACTATGACTTCCACTGTACCCCTTCCAATTTTGGCATTAAAGTCTCCCATGATTATACTGACTTCTTCTTTTTTCATATTTTTCGATGCATTCCTTAGTTCTCCACATAACCATTATTTCTGAGATAAATTCAAATTTGTCATCACTTTTCATGTATCTGTTGCAGTATGGCTGGTTATGTCGCAGTTGGATCCAAGCTAAAGAATCGCCTTTTTTTTAATTTGACCGCTTGACTTAACACTCTCGCTGTAAATAACTATGGGAATAGATGAATAAGGAAGTGGTCGGTGAATGATCCAGGATTTTATTTTAGTACATACAAAATAAACAACAATTTGTATATTTTTCAACATATTAATATATTAAAAATGTAAACCCAAACAGTTTACCACCAAAAATAAAACAATTGCTTATATTAAGTTACTTTTTATTATAAAGTACGTCACATAGCATTTAGGCACAACCAAAATATTATTTAAGTAATTTTATTATAAACAAACAGATAAGCAAGATTTATTTCAATTAATATTGAAACTGGATGAAAAATTTTATTTTTCGTCCAAATAATTTTGACCTGCCTAAAGCCTTACAGGTTTTACTAAAAACAAAGTATAAAAAGTAATAAAATATTTGTTAAGTCGCTACTAAAAAGATATATTGCCTTTTTCAAAAACCGATACAGTCACTAATAAGTTCATCGATATAAAATCATCATGATTTAGAATCAGACAGTAGTCCAAAATTTTCTTAAAAATTAACATACCAAATTGTTAAGTCTCACTATACAACTTTTACTTGAAGTTAACAGAAAACCGTTAATCAACAGAACAGCTTGTTACACTTTGAGGTTATGTGCAATAAAAATATCGCAATATTCAGATCATCGCAATTTTAACATCCACGTAGTCCTTTTTCTGTCAGATTTAGCGATAACATTAAATCAAAAACGGATATTCCCATTAAATCACAATATGGCAGAAGACAAAACAACTGCTTTTTGTTTTTTTTTTGTAAACGTTTAGTGATCTTACTAGAACAAGACAGTCACACAAATATTGTAGTTAGTCAAATTGCAAACAAATTAGTATTTATTCTCTTATAAATACAGAAGTTTGTCTATTAATTTGATTAAATATTATATATATAGATATTGAAATGATCGTCATTAAATAATAACGAGACCAGAAGGGAGACTAGAGAAATGATAGGAAAGTGAAGTTAGTTGCAGATGAGTGGTGTGAAGGAGGTGTGGTGTCCAGGAAAAAAAGGATTATTTATTAGTTATTGAAAATTTAAAAATAAAATACTTAAAACCTATTTTATTTAGTATACATATCTTTGATTCTTATTAGTAGCTGTGATTTTCATGGTTTAGTTTTCCGGTTATATTGCTATAAAAGTATATATATTTTTTAAGATTTCCTAACCATATTCCTAACCATGTAATTTAGAATTCCTCCATTTTGATAAAACAATAAATCTACTTCTGTGTCGAACCTTAAGATGACGTCGAAAGCCTTTCCGGTGTCGGTGGTTACTTTGATGAGTTGGCCTGGTTTGATATCTTTGGGCAAATCGAAACTGTAGTTTTCTTTACCAGTCAGACCTAAAGATTCGGCACCTTGGTTTGGTAGGAACTGAAGTGGTATGAGACCCATGCCTACCAAGTTCGAGCGATGAATGCGTTCAAATGATTCGGCAATTACTGCTTTCACTCCCTAGAAAAAAAAAAAGTTTATTTATATCTAACCAAATACATTTTAAAAATAGTTAAATCCAGATAGTGAAAAACAAATTATGTCCAAGATTATCTCTTGAATAAAATCAACATAGCGTCATCGAAGTATATCCATACAGTCAGAAAGCTTATTTATGTACATTTATATAAGGTGGTATGTCACAATGTTAAAATTTATATACTTTTTAGGTAGAGTTATCGTCACTATTTCAAAACAAATCTTCAACTTATAATTATGTACGTGAACTGTTAACTTTTTATTTTAATGATATCTATCGAATGAAATGTACCGATAGAAAGGGTTGATAAATACAAATACCTAGGAACCTGGATTTCAGACAATAGATGATCACACAACCTAAACAAGAGCCAGGATAGAAATAGCAAGAAATGCGTTTGTAAAAATGAAAACAATTCTCTGCAACAAAGACCTGAAACTAGAACTGAGAGTAAGAGCACTGAGATGCTAAGTGTTTTCGATACTGCAATATGGACTTGAAAGCTGGACATTAAAACAAGAACACATAAATAAGTTACAGTCGTTTGAAATGTGGTGTTACAGGAGGATGATTAGAATAGCATGGACACAGAAGAAAACTAACACGAAAGTATTGCGAGAAATGGGCAAAGAATGCGAAATAATAAACACAATAAAAGTAAGAAAGTTACAATATCTAGGACACATAATGAGGAGACCGCGATATGAACTGCTAAGCCTGATAATTCAGGGAAAGATAAAAGGAGTAAAGATAGTGATGATGATATCAACGTCCGATTTGGAGACGACACTTAAAGAAGAAAAAGGGTATTTCCGAGAAGGTTGTTACTATGTTGCTTTAGAAACTTTTTATTAGGAGATGAGAAGCATATTCACAAAATAAAAGAGCTCTTCTCGAGAATATCAAGACACGGAAAGATATTACAATGAGCAATGTCTTATTTTTCGAAATACTCTAATTCGTAGCTTAAAAATAGACCTATCAGTCCTGTAAATAGTTTGAAGTTCGTAAAAAAATTATACTTTCAAAATGGACAACTTGTAAATGTATTTTTTTTAAAGTTATCTTATTTCATGCTATTTTATATAAGTAAACATAAATCCGGTATGAAAACTCTATTACTTACCAATAAAAATGGACCTTTTGCCGCCCAATCTCTACTGGATCCTGATCCGTAGTCTTTACCAGCGATAATAATCAGGGGTGTATTATTCTTCTTATATCTTTCGGCAGCATCAAACACATCCATCTAAAATAATTGAATAAATATAGAAAATATTAATTTTAATATAAGTAATTTTAAAATATGAAATGTTATTATAGTGTTACTAGATGTGTTTAAATTCAAATATGGTTGTGTAAATTAATTGATACATTTGCCCTCCCTGTATTCCTAAGATCCCTATAGTACCGATCAGGGAATGCATCTCGCGATCAAGAGTGTGATCGTCGATAAAAGGGACAGACACAATATTCGATAATAGATAAGCAATAGAAAAATATGCTAAATAGCTTCAAATTATTTAGTTAGGTGACAATACTGATAGCCTTTTAAACGTTGATCTTAAATTTTAGTTCTAACTTTTGCTTTTAATGATTTTTCAGGTTATGGTCGGTATTTACATCAGCACTTGGATATGTTTTAGTAGTCATGACTGTGTTACGGTGTCTAATGTAAATTAAGATATGATTTTGATTATGAATTATTCTAGTGGCGAGATGCATGCTCAAGAGATATTAAAACACGAGAAGGAAATTTTGATATAATGAATAAATGTATAAAACTTAATACTCAATACCTACCTCTTCGTTAGTGGGTAAATATATGGTTCTGGGACCTGCCTTACTCATGAATTTATTTACTAATCTGATGTTAGCGAAAGTTCCTCTTGCCATTACGTCATCATTACCTCTTCTTGATCCATAAGAATTGAAATCTTTTGGTGTCAAACCTCGTTGTGCCAAATATCTAAAAGTACATATTATAATTACTACAAAAAGTTCAAAGCTAATGACTATGTGCGTTATGTAGATGGAATATAAGTAGATGAAAAGAATCTGTATTGGGACCGTGCAAGTTCGGAACAGCGACACCTGGTGTCGTAAATCAGCAAAATTTACTGCGCTTTCTTGTTAGATCGAGGTTAGATCGGATAACTGTCAAGGACGTAGCCCCAAAAAAGAATAAGAAGAAAAACTAAGATGGAGGTTATGTCGGTATGTTATTAAATGGTAAACGTTGTATGTAAATACAAATAAATATATTATTAAATTACAGCATTACTGTTAATATGGATGCAATAATAAAATTCTGGATTTGAGAAAGTAAATCACCAAATAACTTTTCAACCAAGCACTGAGTCAAAGGGAAAAGCTTTAGTAGTGGCAAATGTCAAAAAATAATGGAGAATTATGTGGCAAAGAATTATGTGGAAGAATTAAGAAAAATAAATTACCATAAATAATGCTAATGCATAAATTAGCAGGTTAAGCCCATGATATCATCATATTGGTTTGAACAATTAATTCTTTCCCTGTAAACTTTTGGACAGCGAATATAATATATCTTAATGCATCTTCAGAAAAAACTTAACTGGATGCATTTTTGTAAACTTCAAAAAAATAAAATTTAAACATTAAACTTCATTTTTGGGTTAAAATAAACTTTAAGTGAGTGTTATGAAACTAAAATTTACACTTAAAAGTGAACTTTTATTTATTATTTATTTCAAACTGATTTTAAAATCGGGCGCAAGAATAATGCATAATTTAGGTTATGTTATTTATGCTTTTTTATGATATAAATCCACTTTTCTCTTTGTAGTAATTTGTACTTCGAAGTTGGAAACGAATAAACCTTAAATTGACAATTTTTTGTTGTATTTTTACAATTTATAACACAGCATTTCCTAAACCCCATTTTCTTCAGTGACAGAAGGTGTAAATAAACAAACGAGTATGAAATATGACAATAGACAATATGAATTTATGAAATCTATGAAATGTGCAGTAAAAAATGCAAGATTTCTCCGCTACTCGCGCACGATCGTTTCTCGTATCAAATCCATGTACTTGCACGTCGCCAATAGGAAAATCAATAAAATACCACACGGAGCAACATTTTTTAAACATCTTTACCTAGCAGCAGGACTTGTTCTTCCAATTGATCCTGCAGGACTAATATGATCAGTGGTCACAGAGTCTCCTAAATATAGTAAGACCTTGGCATTCTGCAAAGGCTTTCTTTCGGGTAGATCTTTAGTCATACCATCAAAGAATGGAGGTTTCTTAATATAGGTGGAAGCAGTATCCCAAGGATATACCAATGCCTCAGGAGCCTCGAGTTTTTGCCAGTTTGTAGATCCTTAAAATAATAACATATTATACACAAAGAAATTTATTTTAAAAACGCATCAACTTACCGAGCTGAATTTTTGCATAGACTTCCTTAAACATAGCAGGAATAACATGTTTTTGTTCGACAGCATGAATTTCCTTTCTAGTGGGCCAAATATCCCTCAAGAATACATTTGAACCATCTGGTCTTTGACCTAACGGTTCAGTTTCGAAATCTATATCTACTCTACCTGCGATAGCGTATGCGATTACCAATAAAGGACTGGCTAAATAATTGGCTCTAGTATTAGGATGGATACGTCCTTCAAAGTTTCGATTTCCTGAGAGGACACCGCAACAAACTAGTTCGTTATGCTCGATGGCATTTACTAGATTTTCGTCGATTCCGCCGCTGTTGCCGATACAAGTCATACAACCATAACCTAAAATATTAAGAAAAACACTCAAGATAAAATATTTAACAACATATATAAAAACTTGGGCAAAACCTAATGATATAAACTAAGAACAACAACAAATAGCTTTTAGAAAAATAGATAAAGAGGAATCATGTTCTAAAATATACATAGTTCGGTTTCAGAAATGGAATATTCAGGTTTTATTCTGTATGCATGTGTTAAGATAAGAAGATGCCGGGGTGTGTCTGTAGATGTCTAACACGGAAAACTTATCAAAATACTAAAAAACAAAATCTAGATGAGCGACATCATCATCATCATTAGCCGTTTTGAGTTCATTGCTTAACATAGGCCTCCCGTAAATAACTCCATTTTTTTGTATTTCAGCCTTGGTTTAGAATCTTTAGCGACGTAATACCATACAAATATTAGTATTCATTCATTCGGGATTGTACTGGGAGGTCACTTTTTACACTCAGGGGTTCATCAGAGCGACTTCATTATAACACACAAGGCATAAACCACGGTTAGATAGATGGGCAAAAAATAGGTACACATACAAAGGAAATATCCAGTCAAACGATCAAATTTTTTATTCACACCTTTAATTTAATTTTTTGCAGAAATTCCATAATCAATTTAAAAATTTTTGTATTATCTTCACTTAATAGTACATTTAGTTTAATGGCAAGCAGCCACGTACTTGTATTGTCATGTAAGGGACAGTTAAAGAATATGTGATTTAGATCAGCTATACTTCCACACTCACATCTGTCTGTTGGCGGTGTCAAAACTCCGATTTTATGTAGATGCTTCGGAAAACATCCATGATCTACTTTTAATCCTAGGATGGTTGACACTGTGTTTCTACTTAATGCAACAACTTTGTAAAATTGGTTCGAAGCCTCTGTTGGTTGAAATTTAAACAAATTAGTGCATGTAGTTTCACCGAACTGAATCCAACGTCTATCCCATTTAAATTTGATGTGCTGTTTTACATATGCAAGATCACATGTGTTAATTTCTTTAATCAATATATTTTGGGTGTGCTTTAGTGGATTTTTAGCTATTGAATCCGCAATACTATTACCCAATATGTCTAAATGTCCCTTAACCCATACAAATTTAACATCATATGATAAAGCCGATAATTTTAGTAATTGTTGTGTGTGTGAAAAATTTTTAATATGAATATATTGCTGTTAATTGTGAGTTTACAATTTTGTAATGTATTTAATACTGATAATGAATCTGTGCAGACGACAATTTTGTTCCACCACTGGTTTTCACAACACCGTTCAAGGGCTTTATATTTAGCACATGCTTCAGCGGAAAAGATGCTGGAAAAAAAGTTGATCAAAACTAAAAATGTAAAATTACATCCCTTCCCCTCCATTGTCTTATATTCGTGATTTTCAGGTCGTATTCCACGTCATTCAACCATCTCGTCCTGGGCCTTCCTTTTTTCGCCTTCCTACCAGCTTCCAATGTAACATCTTCTTTGTCGTTTTTGTGTCTTCTTGTCACTGAACATGACCCAGTCATGACAGTCTTTGACTTTTCACAAATCTTACAATGTCATACCCATCATTCAGTTCATCAACCTCGAAGTTTCTCCTGATGCTCCATGTGCCGTCTTCCTCTTGCACCGGGCCATATACTTTTCTCAGTATCTTTCTCTCAAATGTCCTGAGTTGGACTTCTTTTTTCGTCATTACCCAGGTTTAACAACCGTAGGATACTACGCCCTCTTACTAAGCCCTCTTTTTTGTGATTCAAGATCAATTTCCTTGAATGTTTCCATTAATCGTGTCTTGCTTCGACTAATAATGGCGATATAGTCAGCATATGCAGTAATTTCTACTATTTTAGTGTTTATATGGCCGGTTACATGGGTTCTTCTGATAACTGGTTAAAGAACTAGGTTGAACAGCATGGTTGAAAGCGCGCCCCCCTGTCTCACCACCATGTTGATATCAAACAGGAGAGACAGTCTAACTGCGGGTTTTCAACCCTGCAACATCATTTTTATGAGGCTGATATATATTTTTTTTTGTATACCTAGATTTCGGAGGTCTTCCAGCATTTTGTCTCTTTTCACACTATCAAAAGCTTGTTTAAAGTCTATATAGATATTATACAGTTCTATGTCGTATTCATAAGATTTCTCTTGTATTGTTCTAAGTATGAATATGTTGTCTGTAGTGCCTCTATTTGGTCTGAATCTATTTTGATAATCACCAATTATATTTTCGGAGTATTCTGACAATCTAGTGTAGATAATGCCAGAAAGGATTTTGTATATCATATTTAGCAATGTAATTGGGCTGTAACTCTGGCATTCCCTCTTATCTCCGTTTTTATATATTGGCTGTATAAGACCAACTGCCCATTCCTCCGGCATTTGCTCCTTGGTCTATATCAACTTTATCAGGTAATGGATTCTTCTCCAGAGTTCGGGTCCTCCATATTTCAACAATTCTGCCGAAACTCCGTCCGTTCCTGGCGCTTTACTGTTTTTTAGTTTCTTTATTATTTAAACTACTTCTTTATAACTCGGATTTTCGATGTGCTGCTCCGCCGTAAAATATATTGTCTCATTTTGATCATTTCTATTGTCTGCATTTAGGTTTTTCTCAAAGTATTCTTTCCATCTCATTATAGTTCTACGTCTTTGTCTTTGCATATTGTCAATTTTGGACTAAATGACTGTGCTTTCTTTTATTCTTTTATATAATTTTCTGCTCTCATGTCTGTTGTTATGTTCTAGGATTTCATGTATGTACTTGTTTTTCAAAGCCTCTCTTTTTTTCTTCTGCATATTCTAGTCGCTTGTCTTATCTTTTCGTTATAAATCTCTCTGACATTTCTTGTGTTTCTTTGAAGTTGGTTAAGCCTAGCTTAACTTTTTTCCTCTACTGCAGTTCTGCATCCATTATCATATCATTCCGCATTTCTTTGCCTTTTGGTTTTCCGACAGTTTCCTCTACAGATTCCGTTATTATTGTTTTTAATTGTCTCCGTTCTTCCTCTGCAGTATCTTCCTCTCTAACTCCGTTGAGTTTTATTTGGAGAGTATTTTGATATTCTTGTGTCTTTGTTGGAGTTTTTAATCCTTCAAAATTCCATTTGTTTAATTTGGCTATTTTTCCCATGGACGTATTTATACGTCCATGATTTTTCCCTTTTGCCACTCTCGCAATTTTCTGCCGCAATTTTGCCCCCACAAGATCAGAGTCATATTCGCCTCGCGATACGTTCTGATATTAGTTATGTCTGTTGTCCATTTTTTACTTTACATTACGATTGTTTGCTAATCTTTTTATTTTAAATGATCATTTTTGTCTCTTGTGATTAAGAAACACATGATAACTTTATTGTTTCTAAATGTTTTCTATCAATTTTGCAATTTAAACACGTGATTAATGCATGTGTATTTATTTTGCAAATAGGAACATACATAACTAGTATAACTAACATAACATTATTACCGGAAATAAATAGATATTTATTTTTCCCTCATTCTACAAATGCCTCGATTATCCACCATCTCGTTCAATACATTAAATTTCCATTAAATTTGAAACTTTTTGTGTTGAAAATAACTTCCGATTTGAAAGTAAATTATGTCAAAGTTTTATATGGTAATAGAAACATGTTCGTGGAAAATTTCCAGTGCTCAAATGTAATTAGATATACTTGTGAAATCGAAATAACTTGATAATATCTTTATGAGCTGGAAAAAACAGTACTATAGTCAAATGAGATACAGAACGTCGTAGCTTTCTATTTGCTTCGATAATTATCTTTCAATTATAATAAGTTAATTTGTTTAAATCGGTATTACGTTCGAATTGATTCGCTGCTACAATTCCTAAATTTAACTGTAAGAAAAATCAAATACATTAGTGTTTGCACAAATTATAACTTTCTTTTCACACCCTCTTCACCTTGATGAGATTGCTTGTCACCACTTTTTTTAATTATTTCTACTTTTCTATTTACCCTTCTTATTGCGTAAAGATGATTATAGGTAGCCAGTGTTTATTTTCAGAAATTTTAATTTCTAGGTAACCGATAATTTTTATAAAGTATCATGCATTTTTTAAATAGATAAATACAGTATCCAACAACTTCTAGAATTATCAATTGACGAATTTGTAAGGACCCCGTAAGCTACAAGCTCATATATAATACGTACCTACAATGTCAAATCCTAACTTTTCCAGTGCAGGAATAACTCCCGATTCACTAAGATAATAAGTAACTACTCCGGATCCAGGCGACAAACTGGTTTTGATGTATGGAGCGACGCTCAAACCAGCAGCAACTGCATTTTTAGCCAACAAGCCAGCTCCTAACATAACACTCGGGTTGCTTGTATTAGTACATGAAGTGATTGCTGCAATGACAACGCTGCCGTGGCGTAACTCATATTGTTTACCATCAAACATGAATTTTGCAACTGCGTTAAGTTTTTCTGGTTTTAGCCCGAATCCTTTAAATCCGATCTGTAACAAACAAAAAATTTTAAGTATGTATACTCAAATATGTATTGTGCTTGAAAAGAAAGGTCTTTGATCAATTTGTACTCCCAGTTCTAACGTATAGAGCAGAAACATTGACCCTTACCAGAAAAGTAATCAATAAAATGCCAGTGGCACAAGCGATGGAGAGGTGAATGCTGAATATATCTCTCAGAGACAGAGTATCAAATACAATAGTTAAAAGAAAAACTGGTGTTACTGATGCAGTTCAAAGGATTACAACATTGAAATGGAACTGGGCGGGGCATGTTGCCAGATTAAAAGATGGAAGGTGGACAAAGAAAATTTTGGAATGGAGACCTAAACACGATGCTTATCGTAATCGAAGACGTCCTCCAACAAGGTGGTCAGATGATATCAAGCGCATTCAGCACAACTGGATTCAGGGTGCTCAAGATAGAATGCATTGGAATTATTTACGGGAGGCCTATGTCTAGCAGTGGACTCAAAACGGTTGATGATGATGACTCAAATATGCTTGCTACGTAAACTTATTGCACCCGTTACTTAAAAAAATTCGAGTTACTCATTGATGATGTAAATCAGATATAAATATAGCTAGAAGGGATTCAATACAAAAATTTCGGATGACATAGCATTAGACACCTTAGACGCTGAAAAATTCATTGTCTGAGTAAGAGTATCGTAAAACTAAGATTAATGAGTTTCTTTTAGCAGCATTCGATATAAAAAAGACATTTTCCTGAATGGATTGCTACTAAATACGTTAAAACCAAAGCATGTGATATTGACATTCTACAACCTAATAGTACTTTACAATCTAGCAAATCTAATCTAGCAAAAAAGCTTTTAACCAATATAAAAGCTACAAAACTGTTGAGAATAAAATTGAATCCAGAAAACAACGTGCTATAGCCAAGACGACAACTAGAAATGTCAAACGACAGTCATGGACTCAAAATGTATCAACGTTAAATGCAAACACTCTCATGACTGACGTGTGGAACAAAGTCCGAAGAATATCTGGATATTAAATAGCAATCAGAATATTAAAAGCCTCAAGAAAAATGGAAAGGCAGTTACTAGTAATACTGAGATTGCCAAAATCCTTGCTAACACATACAAAAACCGATCCAGTAATATTAATTATAAAAAATCTTTTATTAATTACAAACAACAACAAAAAAATGTAAGTCACGTGTACGTCCACGATTTAATAGTTGAAAAGTTTGGAGAAACGGAATGAGTGCAAAATAAAAAAAGAGATGTCAAAAGATTACTGAAAGAAGCATCTCGATATGCTCGAAAACACTATCGAACTTTTAACACGTTGCCTGCCGTCTCGGTCTATATGACCGGGAAAAAAATTGCACTGCACGCCAGCGAGGTCAATTTTACCGAGGCAGACCGACATTACAGGCTATATAAAGGTACCTGTGCGCACCGTGGCGTGAGCGGTAATTTTTTCGATCATATAGCAGAAATGGCATTGGCGTGAACGGAAAGTATTACAAATTCCTCTATGGCAGGTAACGTGTTAATTATGCATGAATTAGAGAACCAAAGGGACGTCAAGGCAACCTAGCTCTAGACGAAGATTTGCTGCACTTCCAACAAGATGGAGCAACTCCAATTAGGCACTGGTTGGATACTAATTATCCGAACAAATGGATTGGAAGGAGAGGTCCTATTGAGTGACCACCGAGGTCACCAGACTTAACGCACCTGACTTTTATCCTATGTGGTTACTTCAAGTCAGTTGTTTATAAAACCCAACCTGCGTCACTGCGATTTGCGAGAAATAATTACGCAAGCATGTCGCGCTATTACGAGAACAACATTTGCCAAAGTTCATGCAGAATTCGAAACTAGGCTGTATTATTGTTAAAAAAAAAAAACAACGAAACCCATTTGAAACCCATTTACTTAATTGACATTTTTTAACGAATTTTTCTAGCTCAACAAAAACCTCATTAAATTTTACATTTAAGCCAAAATTTCACCATTATTGCGTTACCCTGTATAATTATTATTTATACCATTGGATAGCATTTTTTATATTATTTTTAATATGTATCAAAAGTAGGAGTTTGCAATTTTAGCTTTTTTGCTTGTGGTGGGTGGGGCCTAGGGGGTTGATGGGAGTGAGTTCTCTTTCATGTCATTTAGTTTCCCTTACTATCTTTAAAATGGATTGAAGACCATGGCATACCACTTCTGGAATGGGTTTCTAATAGTCCCAATTTGTCCCCGATACAGACTCTGTGGCGCGAAATGAACAAGCTTTGACAAAACATCCTGCCAGGTCCATTAACGAATTGAAGGAAAAATTGCAAGAAATATGGGATTCGTTTACATTAGAATTTTGTCAGGACTTGGTAAAAACTATGCCTCGAAGAATTGTGGATGTCATTAAAAATAAAGGGGATGTAACTCAGTGGTACACTTTCACATTTTTTTTGTTATTATTACATATTCTACGCAGTAGCGTACCTATAATTATCCTGTGGGGGGTTTTCGTACAGTACAATAAGTGACTTAGATCATATATTTTTTGCATGCCTCAAGTATATATACTATATGTTCAGCTATTGCAAGAAAATGTGTATGCCCCTTATTAGGCGTTAATTTTAAGAAAAGGCCAAAAAAAGTTATTTATATAAATGTCATTATTTTTATGGTTTTTTTAGGGAATCGGAGTCAAGATATTAGCGAATTAGAGTCAGAAGAATTAATCGAAGAAGAAAACCACTGTACTGACTCGAAAACAATCAGCAGATCAAAACTGATGACTCCTGCCCATATGAAGAGAAACAACTTACAGATGTAAGTAACAGACGTAGGAAAAGATGGAGAAACTATTTGAATAAGAGAAAACCCAGATGCTAAGATTATCATCAATATTTTGTTAGTGTATAGTCGTCGATTGGGTAGTTTATACGGATCGTACGAAAAAATAAATTGATACGTTTCTTAAAGAATGTTTTTATATAAATTAAAACTTATATTTATATTTTTTTCACTTAAATACCCATTTTGACACTACATTAATTTGACCGATGATGTTCTATAAAACAGAAAGTGGACCAGCTAAGAATTAAAATGTTTACACATTTCAATATTATACATTGGCATCTTTTGGCTTGTACCGGCATTGCTATTTATTTTTTAAGTTTCAAATGTATTATGTAAGAAGATTCGAAAACAAGCTTTCCAGATATTATAAAATAATTAAAAGTGGTTAAACCATCACGACAATATCACTTTTTAATTATATTTTGAATATTTTAAGGGAAATTTAATGACCCAATTAGACAAGTAAATAGTAGGTCATTACTCAATTCTTTCGAGAAGTGCTAAATTTCATTTTATGCACTTGGACTGATTTTTATAAACATTTGCAATGTTTACATAACAGAGAAGTAGGTAAGTATATCGATGTAACAATAAACAATAAAGAAGTTATGATACATGTGTTTCATTTTATTTCACCTAGTTTAGCTATTTCAGCTTTAGTAAACAGTGTCTACCTTTAGATCCGTTATCTTTGAAAGAGATGTCGATTTCGGGGAAAGATATATTTTGTGAATTATGCTTGGTAAATATTTAAGCAGTAAGTATCTTAAAATGCTTAATTACCTTATTAAACAGACTAGTTAGTGTTCAGTATAAAGTATTGTTGTTTCTTTGTGTTTATATGACTGCGGACTCTAAAATTCGCCAATTTTACAATTTTTACTAATTTTTTCATTGGTAATTGTTTCATATACATTACGTCATTAATTGGATGAAAAGTGGGACTATTATAATTTTTTTTTTTTCAAAAGTATGGCCAATTCACCATATCCATCATCCCTATCATTCCTAAAGATATTATAAATCTTTTATTTAGAGATATACAGTGCTTTTCAGATAAAACTATTCACCTTAAATAACTTTTGAACCTCTAATTTTTTGGAAAGACGCAAAAACACGTCAATTAATATCTGAACGGGGAGGCATAATTAGGGTTGCTAGAAAATGCACCCTCTCACCCCCTGTATCAACCCTTAATTTTTTTTAAATTACTTCCCCCTTTTTTTATTTTATATTTGGATTCTCCTTTTTGTACTGATTTCAGAAATGTATAATACATGATACTTGAAGTGATTAGTTTATGAGAAAAGTAAATATAAAAGCAAGAAAATTGGATTGAAAAAAAATTATCTTTTAACAATTTTATTACACACATTTAGAACAAACATTTCACTACTAAAAATTTTTACAATAATTGTTCAAAATGACTGCCTTTCACTTCCATACAATAGTACAATCTATTTTGAAATTCTTCTCTGACATTGCTTAACACGTCTGCATTTAATTGTCGACATTCATCCTCTATTCTTTGTTGTAAATCATCTAGATATTCTGGTTGAGTAGCATAATTTTTATTTTTAAATACTCCCATAAGAAGAAGTCTAGAGGTGTTCAATCCGGTGACCTAGGTGGCCAATCGATCATCTGTCGTCTTTTATCTATCCAAGGACCGGGAAACGTTTCGTTTAAAAATTATCGCACAGGTAAAGCAAAGTGTGGAGAAGCTCCATCATGTTGAAATACAACCAAATCATCGGAAAGGTTATCATCATTTTCTACTATTGTTTTAACGATCAACCACTTGCCTATATAATTCAAGATACGATGCACCATTTAAGTTTCCAGTGATAAAGAAGGGTCCGATAATGTGATTACGTAGGATACCACACCATACGTTTAACCTTTGAGGATGCTGTGTGTGAAATTCGCGTACAATATGTGGATTACTCTCAGCCCAGCCCCTCTCGGCAATTATATCTGTTCACCAAACCGTTTAATGAGAATGAGCATTCATCCGAGAAGCAAATATTGTTTAACAATTGTGGATTGTTAATGATGCATTGTATCATTAATTCGCAACATTCGGGACGACGATCAAAATCTTCTTCATTTAACTCTTGTACTAATTTAATCTTATATGGATAAAA